TGTACATAAACAATACAATATAGGGCCGGGGATTTAGCTCAGTGGTTCTGCAGCCTGCCTCGCAAGTGCAAGGTCCCAAGTTCGATCCCCGGTACCAAGAAAAGAAAACAATACAATATAAATATAAACTTATAACACAATAAAAATATAAAAATAAGCAATACAATAAAATAGAAATGGTGATACCACATTATTTAATGTACTTAAGTATTATCCTGCCACTTGATGTTCTCCTTAGACATAGTAGTTTGGAGATCTGTCCATCTTAATCTTTCCTGTTCTTTCTAATGGTTACATAGTATTTCTCAGTATGGTAGAGCCATCATTTAGTTAGAGTCCCCTAGGGATGGCTATTTAGGTTATTTCCAATTTTTGCTGTTACTAACACTTCAGTGAAAGACAACCCTACACACTCCCTGTGACAGAGATGTGCAAATGTTTTTTTCAAGTGGATCTTAAGAGGTGGGGATACAGGTCACAGGCAGTCTTAATTGAGAGGTAAAGAAACTACACCCCAAAAGAGAATGAAGCATGACCACTTGGGGGGTCTCTGCACAGACCACCGACCACACTGAGTAGGAGCAAATTCAGCTTGCTTGCCAGCGGCTTCAAGGGATTTAAATCACCTCAAAACTGTCAAACAGAAGTGTGGTCTCATTTTTATACCTTTGTGTTTCTATGGGAGGGGGAAACAGCAACCGTAATCACTTGGGAAACAGCCATCAATCTGAATATAATTACATAAGCAAAGGGGCAATGAAAGGGGGAGCAGGAGGTTTGGCCTGGCTTTCTGAGGTGGCCTTGCTCTAGGGAGTTTGCATTACAGTAGTGAAAATGCTCTGAATTTGAGGATTGGCTTTGCAAGTTATTAGCTGCAAATAGGATGAGTCACCTGCTGGCTCTGTCTGGGTCTCAGCTTCCGCATCCAAATAATGGGGGGAGAAGAAGACCCAAGTTTTTCCAAATTATATAAGTAGTACTGTTACAATATCTGGAAAATACAGAAATGTATAAGGGAGGAGAATCCTGTCATCCAAAAAAAAAAAAAAAACTACTGGTAACGCTGTTTCAAAGGAATGCGTATCATTTTGTTATCATTTATTGTAGGATAAACACATTTCCATTTTGATAAAGATCTAAACTTAAATTCTTTGTGTTATTTTTACCATTCAGAATAAATCAATAGTGAAGATTTTTATAGGTAAACCTTTGTACACATCCACACTTTTTTATTTTCTTCCATATGATAAATATAGTAGAAGGGAGTTTTCCCAAAAGGAAAATGTACATGTTAGGACTTCTGATATCTTTTACAATGTTGTGGTTTATGCATATCACAGAATTTAATGCCACCAGCTGTGTGTGAATGTGCCCATTTCCCTACATTCATGCAAAAATTGTATGTTAATAATCTAAAAGACTCATCATATTAATTATTGTTTTACATTGTTTCTGTTACCATCTGTGAGGTTGGACTTTTTGTTTATACTGATTAGCTGTTTTGATTTCTTGTTTATGGCCTGCTTTTGTCTCATGCCCATTATTTAGAAAAGTATTTTTTCTTATTTATTTACAAATGCTCTTTGCATATTAAGCACCTTGACCTTTTCGGCGATATTTGTGGCAAACATTTCCCCCAGCTTCATTGTTTTCCTATTATCTGATTTTTAAACCTAGTTTTACATTTTTAAGTCAAATTTGGGGCCTTTGGCTTTGATTTCCCCACTGATTTCATGCTTATGCAATCCATTCCTATAATGGGACATGTTAGGCATTCACCTCTGCTTTCTTCTACTTCTTCCTGCTGTGGGATTTGTTGCTTTGAAGGGGATAAACTTAGCCCTGCAGTTCTGAGGTTGCTTTACCTCTGGGAGCCAAGGGGCTGACTGCAAAGCTGAGCTCTATCTCCAAGGGTAATTGAAGTCCAGACCAGAGCCTCCCAGTCCTTGATCCCAGGGTCCAGAAGTCACTAGTCTGAGTCCCTGTCAAGATGTCCAATGAGCCAACACTGGGAAAGATGGTGAGGCAGAACTAGAGGGGCAGCAAGAGCAGAGCAGCCCCAGGAACAGAAACTAGTCCCAGGACACACTCAGCCCTGAGCCTAGACCCAGAGCCACTTGGCTTCTATCCCTGGGAGCAGGATTGCTCCAGGGAATGGAGCTCCAGAAGCACTCCAGAGTAGGGTGCATCTGGGTCTCTCTCCCCTGCCTGAATCTCCCTGAGCCCCTTGGAGGCCCCTCTGCTCCCACACAGACAACTGGAAGCAGGAGCTGACAAAGTTCATCAGCCCTGACCAGCTGCCCGTGGAGTTTGGGGGCACCATGACTGACCCCGATGGCAACCCCAAGTGCCTGACCAAGGTACAGGAGCCCAGAGGATGGGGAGGGAGGGGAGACCTGCATGGCCTGGTTCCCGCTCACCCAGCCTCACCCACAGATCAACTACGGGGGCGGGCGAGGTGCCCAGGAGCTACTTCCTGCGAGAGCAGGTGAGGATGCAATACGAGCACAAGGTGTCTGTGGGCCGAGGCTCCTCCCAGCAGGTGGAGAATGAGATCCTGTTCCCAGGCTGTGTGCTCAGGTGGGGCAGCAGCTACTCCACACCTGGCACAGCTGGAAGGGGCTCCAGAGCCTGAGCAGGAGGTCAATGGGGCTCTGTCTGCTGAAGGGGGCAGTTTGCATCGGATGGTGGGGACATCGGCTTTGGGATTTTCCTGAAGACCAAGATGGGGGAGTGGCAGAGAGCCAGGGAGATGATGGAGGTGCTGCCCAGCCAGCGATACAATGCCCACCTGGTGCCAGAAGATGGGAGCCTCACCTGCCTCAAGGCCGGCATCTGTGTTAGGAGGAAACAGCACCACCTAGAGGTGGGTGGGGCAGGACCCTCAAAGCACATCTGGTCTGACTGGGTAAGGACCCCTGGCTCTGAAAGGCACAGTGTGGTGCTGCTCTGGGCTATCAGTACTGGCAGTGGCTCCCCCGCTGGCTACCCACATGTGGAGTTACCACATGAAGAGCAGGGCCCAGGTGGAACATGCTGTCGGAGCATCCGTCTGTCACTGCAGATGTCCTGAGATTCGACAACACCTACAGCCTGGTTCATTCTAAGCAAATCAGCTACACAGTGGAAGTGCTTCTCCCAGACCAAGCCTTCGTGGAGAAGGTGGAGAAATTCTAGGCAAACCATTTGGCCGCATACCCTTCTCTCTGATCTCTGGACCCACAGTGAGCTCACAGCCTTCCCTGGCCAGACCCCTGCCCAGTCCCTCCAGAGACAAGAATCCTACACTAGCAGGTTTCAGCTTGGCCATTATTGCTGGCCTGCCCCTCAGGAGCAGTGGTCTGATGACCAGCCTGAGCTACATAGTGAGACCCTGTCTCAAAAAACCAAAAAAAAAAAAAAAAGCATTGATATACCTAAACTACCCAACATCCCAGCTTAGCAGCCCAACACGCTATAGCCTTAGTTAATTCCCCCATCACTGTATGGCTGGCTGCAAGCTGTGGTCTGCTGCCACTGTCCTGTGTCACCAGAGAGTATCCTATTGCTTATCACTAGTGCAGAAAAAGATCCAGATTCAAAACTGGAAGTAAGATTTCTATACTGGATCCCTATTGCTTTTGCACCAGGGTAAAGTTGAAAAATCAAAAATTATGGATGGGCCATAATTTAGCTCAGTGGTTCTGCCGCCTGCCTCGCAAGCGGAAGGACCCGAGTTTGATCCCCGGTACCAAAAAAATAGATAAATAAATCAGAAACGGAACCATGATAAGTTGAGGGGTTTCTGTAAATGGAATCATACACTATTTGGCCTTTGTGTCTGGCTTCTTTAATTTGATAAAGTATTTGTTGTGGCCTTTAAAAGATAATAAAAACATTAACAAAGCTATTACTTTCTTAATGTAGGTTTTTTTAGTAGCTTGAGTGGAACAGAAAAGATAGGCTGCTGACCTGGGGAACCAGGCCCTCCTGACAGCCTCCTTAGGGGCCCCAGGGCGACTTCCTCTCAGCTCCCTCCCCAGAGAACAGCAACCAGGAAGGTCAGGGGCTTGGAGCAGAGGGGTAGGCAGGGCCTCGGCTAGGGGAAGGACCAATCAGAGGTTGAGAATGAGAAGGGTGGGAATATGAGAAAGAAAAGGGGATCCGCTGGACCCTGGCGGGTCTTATTGTGACCTTCAGGGCATAACATGGTGACATTTGGGTGCCTTGCCCCAACAAGGAGCTGTGGGTTTGAAAACATCCCTGTCATCAATAGGTAAGAAGCTGTGAATGGGGATATGGGTGGGTGGGTGACAATGAAGGCAGTAAAACAGGGAGGGAAGGAAGAAAAGAAGGAGAGAATAAGGCAAGGAAGGAAGGAAGGAGAGAAGGAGGGAAGGCAGGAAGGAAGGACAGACCCCCCGCCCAGGCGCCTGCCCCCCACTGCAAGGGGAAGGGCAAGCCCAGGTATTTGGAACACCTGACACCCCAGGGGCTACCTCACCTCCTGGGCAAACTCCACTCCTGGCTTCCAAAGATGGCGCAGGCCCAGCCCCTCTAAATCAAAAATGGCTGTGATTTGCTCCACCTTCTTCCCTAGCTGTAAGGGAATGACAGGTGAGGCCCCATGAGGGTCAGTGTCCCCACACCCCAGCCAAGGGCACTGGCCTGCAAAGCCTCAGTCCTGCCTGGCTTGGAGCTTTCATGCCAAGAAGCCAGGTGAGGGGAAGAAGGCACCCCAAGGGACGTCAGGACCAAGGCTTGCCTTTCTCACGTCTGGCAACAGGAGGGTAAATCGCTGTGCCTCAGTTCTCCCTTCTGTCCATCAGGGCTGAAACACCTGCCTCCCTCATTAAATGAGGCTGCAGAGGGCAGGGTTGCCACCTGGGCTAAGCAGGGATTTGGGGGCCAGTTTGAGGAAGAATGAGTCTCAGCTCTGCCACATGCTGTGTGGTCTTGGGTCTGTCCCTGACTTCTCTGAGACTTAGTACTCCTTGGTAGTACTAAGATCCAAGGAACTCTAGAAGTCAGGCTCTGAGTACAGGGACCAGATCACAGGGGTGCACAGTGCTGCAGGGCAGCCGTGAGGGTGTAGCTTGGGAGTCTAGGGACCCTTGTCCCCACCTTCTGAGTCTGCTGCTCGCACTGGCACAGGAGCAGCTCACAGCTTTGGTGCTTAGACCCGAGTAGCTCCTGCTTGGAGATGGAACGGAGGAACCCCTTCAAGCCGAGGCCCCTGATGATGTGGTAGCAGACAGGGCTGCCCTCGTAGTCTTGGCCACAGATGCCATTGGCGCCATACAGCATGAGCACCTGGATGTACATGAGATGGGGCTCAGGGCACAGGCTGAGGCACTGGGCAGAGGGGGCAGGTTTGAGGGAGACTCACTTCCAGGAGCTGCCACGAGATGATGTTGTCCAGGTCCTGTTGCTTCCGGAACTCCACGTGCTGCAGAGACATGGCAGGGACTGAAGACACGGCCTGGCCCAAAGACCTCTAGCAAGACCTGGGGACACCAGACCAGGGCCCCATGCCTGCAACCACTGAGGGCCTGTCACACTACCCTCAGGCTAGGGATGGGGACAGAAGGGAGCCCAGATATGGGAAGAGAGAGGGAGGAGAGGCCCAGAAAGTTCAGGTGAGGGAATCCTGCATGTCTCCTTACATCCTTCATTTGCTCCTCATGTCTCATCTGCACACGGCCAGCCTGGAAATCTGCAAAGCAGAAGTCAGACTCTATTCCTGGGCTTCCAGTCACTCTTAGCAAAAGCCTAGACTCCCTGTGGAGCACTGCAGGGCCAGCTGATGGGCCTCAGCCCCCATGCAGCCATGTCTCTCTTCCATTCTCTCTCCAATGTGACCTCTGTGCATTCCTGAATACACCCAGCTCATTACTACCTCAGGGACTTTGCACAGGCTGTGCCTGCTGCTCTGCTCTCTACATGGCTGCTCTTTTGGAGCCCTCATGGCCCAGTGAAATGTTCCTGACCAACTTTCCTCCCTTCCTTCCTGCCTTCTTTCCCTTCCTGCCTGCCTTCTTGCCTTTCTTCCTTCCTGCCTGCCTGCCTTCCTTCCTTCCTGCCTTCCTGCCTTCCTGCCTTCCTGTCTTCCTTCCCTGTTTTACTGTCTTCATTGTACTCTCCAGTCTCAGGAGTTGTCTTGTTTATTTGTTTATCTGGTTTCTTTTCTCTCTTTCCATCACCCCGCTCTCTCCTGTACCCAACACAGCTCTAGGATCACCACTAGTGCTCAGTAAATGAGTGTTTCATGAATGAGTGAGTGAGTGAGTGAATGAATGAATTTGTGCCTCAAGCTTGAGATAGGAAAAAGGGTCAGCCTAGGCTGGGGGAGGCATTGCCCTCACCTTTCGCAGCACGTCCTCCGATTTCTGCAGGTCGAAGCTCCAAGCTGCAACAAGGGGACAGGGTTGTGACTGTAGAATCATAAGGGCTCACTTTGGGCATCTGTGGAGAGCAGTGCTGTCCCACCCTCCAGGCTAGCTTTGCTGCCTCTTACCCAGAGCTCCCTATTCTTAACACCCAGAGCCACAGTGGGGCTCAGGGAAGAGTCAAAGTACCCTGAGTCCCGGGCCAACTTGGGCATGGCCTTTTGGTTTCCTGGGCCCATGATGGTGGATGTGTTCCTCCATGGACCTTGGTGGTGGAAGGAAGTGGAAAAAGAAACCACTACCCAGGAGAAAGGTAAGAAGAGGTGTCCCTGGGCATGGTGGCACACGGGCATAATTCCAGCGGTCTCAAAAAAAACCCCAAAACAACAACAACAAAAGAAGGAGGAGACCAAGGAGGAGGGGGAAGGGAGAAAAAAGGGAGAGGATGGGGAGAAGGGGAGGGGGAGAAGGAGAAAGGGAAAAGAAAGTGTCCAGAGAAATAGCACGAGTCCTTGCCACATCTGCTGCCACTTGCAGGACCTTAGGGGTCTTTTCCTCTCATTCCAGAAAAGTCAGTAAGAGAGCAGAGCCTCAGTCTGGTGGCTGAGAATTGTTTAAATCAACAGATCACAAACTTTTTTGACCTCAGGCCTTTTATACTCTTAAAAGTCATCAAAGATGCTACAAAATTATGTTTATTTGTTATATCTGCCCATATTTATTTACCATATTAGAAGTTAGAATTAAGTATTTTTAAAGCACAAGAATACACAGAACATAGTCCCTTAAATTCAGAGCAATGACGACATCTCACACCACACAGTCTCCAGAAAATCTGTTGTAAGTTTGTAAGAAAATGAGAATAAAAATGCAAATAAGATTGGGGAGGGCCGGGGATGTGGCTCAGTGGCACAGCGCCTGCCTGGCAAGTGGGAGGCCTTGAGTTTCATTCCTGGTACCAAAAAAGGGAAAAAAAAGACTGGGGAGTTATAATGAAAATAGTGGAGACATTAAAGGCAAATGGTCCAAATAAATAAATAAATAAATACATAAATAAATAAGTAAGTAAGTAATAAAGGCTCTGGGGAACCAGAGGATCTGGGGAACCCTTAGAGGTTTCTGGACTGCACTTTGAGAACTACTGGCCTACAGTGTGAATGACTTAGCATACATAAGAAAAATAAATTAAAAGATCTTTTCCCGAAACTGTTACCAACCTGCTGTGTGACTTCGGGACAGTCTCTTCTTGAGGGTGAAGAAAACTGTCTCCCAGTGTAAAAATGGGCAACTATGGGTTAACTGAGTAACTATGCTTGCTGAGAAAGACATTGTCACTACTGTAATGCAAACTCCCTAGAGCAAGGCCACCTCAGAAAGCCAGGCCAAACCTCCTGCTCCCCCTTTCATTGCCCCTTTGCTTATGTAATTATATTCAGATTGATGGCTGTTTCCCAAGTGATTACGGTTGCTGTTTCCCCCTCCCATAGAAACACAAAGGTATAAAAATGAGACCACACTTCTGTTTGACAGTTTTGAGGTGATTTAAATCCCTTGAAGCCGCTGGCAAGCAAGCTGAATTTGCTCCTACTCAGTGTGGTCGGTGGTCTGTGCAGAGACCCCCCAAGTGGTCATGCTTCATTCTCTTTTGGGGTGTAGTTTCTTTACCTCTCAATTAAGACTGCCTGTGACCTGTATCCCCACCTCTTAAGATCCACTTGAAAAAAACATTTGCACATCTCTGTCACAGGGAGTGTGTAGGGTTGTCTTTCACTGAAGTGTTAGTAACAGCAAAAATTGGAAATAACCTAAATAGCCATCCCTAGGGGACTCTAACTAAATGATGGCTCTACCATACTGAGAAATACTATGTAACCATTAGAAAGAACAGGAAAGATTAAGATGGACAGATCTCCAAACTACTATGTCTAAGGAGAACATCAAGTGGCAGGATAATACTTAAGTACATTAAATAATGTGGTATCACCATTTCTATTTTATTGTATTGCTTATTTTTATATTTTTATTGTGTTATAAGTTTATATTTATATTGTATTGTTTTCTTTTCTTGGTACCGGGGATCGAACTTGGGACCTTGCACTTGCGAGGCAGGCTGCAGAACCACTGAGCTAAATCCCCGGCCCTATATTGTATTGTTTATGTACATATTTCTGCACATGTACATGAAAAAGCATTGAAAAAAGTCAGCAATGTGAGTCTGAAAGAAATATTTGTACACCCACACTCATAACAGCATTATTACTGGGTAATATAGCTCAGTGGTAGAGTGCCTACCTAACATGCACGAGAACCTGGGTTCAATTCTCAGGACCACAAAAAAACCACCCCAAAGCAGTGTTAATCATAGCAGCGAAAATATAGAAGCAACCCAAGTGTTCGCTGACAGGCGAGTAGCTAAGCAAAATGTCTATCCATACAATGGGATGTTAGTCAACCTTAAAAAGGAATAAAAAAAAGAACAGTATTCTGAAGCATGCTTCAACATGGATGAATCTTGAGTACACTATGCTAAGTGTTATGGTTTATATCTAGATGTTTCCCCCACTGCCTCATGCCCTTTAGGTGGGGCTTTTGGGAGGTGACTGGATTATGGGTGCATGATACTCATCACTGGATTAGTGCACTGACGAATTTATAGCTAAACCTGATTTGGGAGATGAAGCCTGGTTGGAGGAGGTGGGTTCCTGGAAGTGTGGCCTGGAAGGATTTATCTCCCTTCTTCCTCCCTTGATTGTTCTGTTTCCCATCACCATGCCATGAATTGTTTCTCCTCTGCAATGCCCCTCTGCCACTGTCGCCCTGCCTTGGAACTAGCCAACTGTGGACTGAAACCGCTACCAACTGAGCCAAAACAAACCTCTCTTCCCTAGATTTGCGGGTGCCAGCTACTGTGTCTCAGCAATGAGAAAGTAACTAAGACACTAAGTGAATTAAGCCAGACCCAAGAAGACAAGTACTGCATGATTCCTCTTATATGAAATACACAGAGCAGACAAAATCACAGAGCCAGAGAGTAGAATGGTGGTTGCCAGGGGCGGAGGAAGAGGAAGTGAGAAGTTAGTGTTGAATGGGGACAGTTTCAGTTTTACAAGATGAAAAGAGTTCAGAAGATGGATAGTGGTGAGAGTTGCACAAGGCTAAGAATGTACTGAACGACACTGAACTGTACACTTAAAAATGGTGAAGATGATAAATTTCGCATGTATTTTGCCGCAATAAAAAAATTGAAAAAATAGTCTGTAAGATACTCAGAAACTGGTGACAATGGTGACTTCCAGGGGCTGCGGAGACTTCACTGTTATCAGTAAGATATGATCATTTGCAATGAGAGTATGTTCACATACTTCTCCTATAGTTAAAATTTAAAAAATAAAATAATAGAGCTCTTTGCTAGCATGTGCTGGTCAGCATTCTGTAACTGTGACAAATCCCTCAGATCATTAACTTATGAAGGAAAAGGAGCCAGGTGTGATGGCATACACCTGTAATTCCAGAATGTGGGGGGCTGAGGCCAGCCTGGGTTACAATAGTGAGTTCAAGGCCAGCCTGAGCTGCATAGTGAGACCTTGTCCCCCAAAATGAAAAAACAAAATCAACAAACAAAATGCAAACAAACAGAGAAAGGTTATTTTGGCTCACAGTTTTGGAGGTTGCAGTCCATGAGCAGCTGGACCTATTGCTTTTAGGCCCACAGTTGGGGAGCAGTACATCCCTGCCAGAGCAGGTGGGCCAAGCAAAGCTGGTCATTTTGTGGCCAGGACTCAAGAGAGGAAGGGGCCCTTGGCCCCACCTCTTAATGGTCCCACCACTTAGTGCCAAGCTGGGGACTAAACCTTTAATGCAGGGGCCTTTGGGAGACTCTCCAGATACCAATCATGGTTACCAGCTACCTTTTTTTTTTTTT